ATATGGGACCAGTGGGGAAAAAATAAATGCACTAAAATTTTGTTTTCTCAGTTTATGATATTGTGAGAGCATGGTGGCACAGTTGGTAGAGCTTCTGCCTCTCATCCATCAGGTCGCCCTGTTTCAAATCCCAGCTGGAGGCCTTTCTCATGGAGTTTTCATGTTCTCTTCATGCATGCATAGATTTTCTCCGGGTTCTCGGGTTTCCTCCCACAGAACAAAAACATGCATTTTAGGCTGACTGGTAACTCTAAATGGTCCCTAGGTGTGAGTGAGAGAGTGAATAGTTGTTTATGGGCCATATTGTTTGTCTCGTTTGTGTCCCTGTGATGGATTTGAGACCTGTTCAGGGTGTACCTCGCCTCTCTCCCAGTGATGGCTGGGCATGGACACCAGTGACCCCCATGGCCCAAAAAGGAAAAGCAGGAAATGGTAATGGATGGATGATATTGTGAGCATGATTTTACAATCTATTCTCCCAGTTTAGCAAATTGAACACACAGTTAGCAATAACATTCATGTTCCTGTTCGACAGGTGTGTTAAGTTTTCTTTGTAATTTAGAGCTGAGATGCTTCATCTACTGTAAATAGAGAAACAACAAAAATCACAACACTGGAAGTAAGCCGAGGTTTTAGGAATTATATCTTAATATTCAGTAGTATACATCATATTGTCTGTGGTGTCACTAAAGTACAAGTACAAGTACTTGGGTGTACACCTGAATGACAACCTCAGCTGGGGCAACAACACCACCAGCCTGATCAAGAAAGCTCATCAGAGACTCTACTTCCTCAGGCAGCTGAGATGAGCTGGACTGGGAAGCTCAGTCCTCACCTCCTTCTACAGGTGTGCAGTGGAGAGCATCCTGTGCTCCAGCATCAACATGTGGCATGGACGCTGCACAGCTACAGAAAGAAAAGCTTTGCAGAGTGGTGTAGTATGTCATATAGGATATATATTCATACTTTTCACGAGTTCCTCATCTTTCTGACTGTGTAAATGTCGTGCATTGAATTTTAACAGAAATGAAACGAGAGACGTTATTTATCTTTGACCCATCAAAATGAATGCGGTCATTTATTTTCAGAATCAAAGTTTAACATCAAACATTTACATTAATTTGGCAAAATATGAAAATAATAACAGACAAGTTTCACAAATAATAGACTTCAATCACACGGCGGTGATTGAGGATTTTGCTTCAGATATTTCTAAAATATCTGTACTGATTTTAAGAGAAAGCAGAGTTTAAGATGGAAATGGAGATTTATCTTACAGAGAGATTTGTGAGGGAATTAATCTGTTTGTCCAGAAAACGTGCACGCTCCATCAGATCTCAGCTGGCCTCCGGTACACTTAGTCGAAAATAGAACCTTCTACCTGGTTGACGATAAAATCAGCGTCGGCGTATGGTTCCTTTCTGACTCTTTCAGCGTCTCCGTGAGAACTGCCAAACCCTTAGAGAGTCGTACGAGGTTGTTCAAACAGAAGTTATAATCCCAAAACGTCTCTGGATCATCCTGAACGCGTTTGCATCCAAGAACTCTAACTCCATCACTCTCTCATTGAACTCATTCCTGAGCGCAGCAACACAGCAACTCAAAACTCCAGCAACTGCTACATGAACTGGGAAGTTGCCACATTTTAAATGGGTCGACTTCGGGGTCATTTGAGAGCTTTTTGATTGGTCGATGGACCAGAAATAGAGGTGTGGTTTGTGATGTAAGATGTTATCAAATTCGAGGTCAGAGAATGAGATTGTTCAACAACAGACAGAAAGATTATTGCAGAAACCAGACTTCGTGGAGTCTCACTCTGCTGTATCTTCTCAAATAGTTAAACATGACATTTTTTCTCAGTAAACATTTTAGTTGACCGAGAACCGACCTTTAACATACTTACATTGCAGACAGAAAAATCAAGAAATGCATATTAACCTGATTTCTTCTTTGAATGAGGAATAAAAATCATTACTTACTGTTTATGTAAAATAAAAATGAGTAGTTCTCTTCAACCTGTAAGCATTGAGTGAGCTAACACAATTTGATTATCAAACATTTGTAAAATAGTAATGATCATAGAGAATTGTCTTTTCTGCTTGATTAATTCAAGAAAGAAAGTCACCAGATGGCTCAAACTGTATTTCTGGATGCAGATCAATGAAATAACAGTCTCTGTTCATCTGGTCAAGATTTGGGGTCAGATCAGGTTCACTACAGTGGTGAAGGCTGCACAGAAGATGTTGGAGTCAGCCTCCCCACCATCACAGACATTTACACCTCCAGATGCAGGAAGAGGGTCATCTGCATCATGAAGGACCCCACTCACCCAGCACACATACGTTTTGCCCCGCTCCCCTCAGGAAGGAGGTTAAGGAGCATTAAGTGCAGAACTACTAGACTTAGGAGCAGCTTCTACCCTGAAGCTGTTAGACTCATGAATCTCTAACCAGGACAATCGCTGTGAAAAATCACATCATGTTGCTGCTGATCTGTTTCATGTTGCTGCTGATCTGTTTCATTTTGATGTGTTCATTCATGCTCATCTGCTCACACAGACTCATGTTCGTGCTGCTGTTCGGCATAATGTTTTTTATGCTATTAGTGCTTAGTGTATTATTTAGCTGATGTTTTTCTTAGTTCATATCTTAGATCTTATTACTGTTTTTCTTTTACATTTTATTGTTTGATGTAACTGGGACCATGTGTACATAATCTTGTTCCACCACATGAGATGCAAATAACACATAAAGCTCTCTGACTCTGACTAAAACCACATTGGACAGTTGTGAATCAGTCATCTATGTTTCCAAGAAATGGCATCCCAACAATAAACTTAAAAACATGTAAATATGAATATTGCAGGAAAACTTATTTTCATGTTCCTGTGTTGATGGTTTCTAAACACTCGTCTTGCTCAGATTATGAATTATTTCTGCCTAAAATTAGGCTGTCAAATATTTATTTTTTACAGTCGTTGTTGGGGAGAAGATGCCTGTGGTTTTACAATAATTGGGCAGTTTATTTAGAAAATATTGATTATAAAGAGAAGAAATCACCGTAGTCAGCTTTCCAAATTCACTGAGTCCAATTGCCAATTGACCAATTTCTTATTCTGTAACAGAATGATGCATGTTAACAAATCTGTACAAATGAGTTTCTACATTAAAAAAAATAATCTTTTTTTTAATTTTTATTTTATTTTTTTTTACACCAGACACCTTTTGAGCTCCACAGTCTTGAGTTAATTACTTGGAATGGCTCAAAAAAGATCATACAATAAGGGTGTTTAAAAATAATGTTCACACCAAATCATGCAAAAAACTCCCTGACCACTGTAGTAAATGACAAAGAATGAAGGGGTTGAGACACGTTGTCAAGTTTGATTGTAAGACAGGAGATAAGAGACGAAAGGATATAATCCTAACATTTACTAGACTCACTACATAGGAGCCCAGAAAAGAGAAGAATCGGGGTACTGAGGCAATTCCAATTTGTCGTGAGGGTGTCGCTTCGTGGTCACCGAGAGTTAATGAGGCAAAGACCTGAGCTCTAAGTCATCCTGCCACCGTCACT